AGAACATTGTCAAGATATCACTTAAAAATACGTCAAATGCAAACACAAAACAATACATGAAATGGTTTCAAGAACCAATATTGAAAAAAATTATTCAATAAGAAGTAAATTTTCAGCTCCAACATTTTGGGTGTAGAGAAGATTCGAATAACAGTTGGAACTTTTCAAATTTCATTAAATAAAAATCGGAACTGTACGATATTTAAAACAAAATTTATATATTCCAGAAAAAGTAAAAAAAATTGCAGCGATTTTGGGACTCGTTTTAAAAAAGTAAACTTCTCGGGCTTTTATCTAAAATATTATTAAAAATATTAAAACAACTGTTTCAATTCGCTGAGATTGGAAATGACAAATGGATAGAGAATACTCATTTTAGTGAAAATGAAATAAACAATTTGGGCGCTAGATAGACTCGGTGCTTCCCAGACACATGATAAAGCTTCCTGAAGCGCATCGCAGACTTTCAGTAATTATATAAAATGTCAATTTCAGTAATTAAATATAAAATGTAAAAATACTCTTTTCTCTCTTACCAGAATGTGACTCTTTCCGCCCCGGCTAGCAGGGGTAGTCCAAAAGACATTCTGGGTTACTTGGTATGTATTGCTATTGGTATAGAGGTATCCGGTAGGTCCATCTCGGCTATACATAGCCTGATTATGGGGGAAAGTATCCTGGGAATGGAAGAAGAGGGCCAAAAGGCAACACATGGATGTTGAAAAGTCCCATCATGCCATATTACACGAGCACACATCAATGGCCGAAGCAGAATCTAACTCGCAAACTCAAAAAAACTATCACAGATTGGAATGGCTACATTCTGTCAATTGCAAAAATTCATTTTTCCCTGCACGTGTTTTTGTTAGCCTTCTCTCGCAAGTATCATCCGGTATTATCGGAAAAAATAAATTTTTTATACGAGTGAAGTCATATGAGCGTCTGCAGATTTAAATGGTTTACTTGCGGATTTGTGGAATGATTTCATTATATTTTGCACTATGATCAACGATAACATTTACCTCCCAGTTTAGAGGATTCATAAGGATGATTTCACGCTTGTTACACAAATGAAGTTTCTGTATTTTCAGTTTTAGGTTAGCATGCATATCTTTAAAAATGAAGACTCACCCATTTGAAGAATTCAAGGCCCGTGGGGAGACGTATTTAGTCCGTGTATGACAATGTCAGATGTGGTAGTGAAGGAAGTAATGTCAATTCCTACGTATGCTATCGGCAATTACCTGAAATACAAAATAAAATATTGTCTGATGAGTAAAATTCAATGAAAGCAGAATTGTCGGGAAGAAAAATTAGCTTTACAACACATTGGCATGATGTTCACTAGTTGTAAATTAACAATAAAAAATTAATTTAGTGACACGCTCGCTTATCTATTCCGTGAGATCCAGAATTAACCAAATAACAGTTCTTAATACTTACCACTACTAATTTAAACAATTCAAATGATGCATCATAACTTAAAAACATCGCCTTTTTCAACTGTTCCTATCCCTTCTGAATTCGTTTCATGTCTTATTATACATTACAAAGAAGCAGTTTCCGCTTTAGAAATTTTATTTTAAATGAAATATTCACAATGTTTCGAAGATTGGCTAAATAAAAAAAATGTTAACTTACGAAACATTATTGCCGTTTATCCGAGAAACATGCAAAGAACCAAGGAGATTTTTGAAAGCGGGAATGAATAATGTGAAGTGTTCTATGGAATACTTAAGTGGAACTGAACTACGGTATTGAAAGTAGTTGCTATGACACAACCAGTTTTCCGCAGCACGCGCTTGTATTTAGGGTTACCATACGTCCTCTTTTCCCATGACATGTCCTCTTTTTTAAACAAGAAAAACTGTCTGGGAAGATTTTACAAGAATGCACGAAATGTCCTCTTTTTATTGGAAAGGGGTTACTAGTATTTTAAAATGCAATCGACCTTTTCTCTTTGAAATGCGACAATGAATCGGCAGGTACAGCGTATTGTACAACGTACTGTTTAATAGTAATGGTTACATATTCTGTGTTTAGTGGTGTAAATACTATTCTTCAAACGTTGGGAGATAATATTGCACAGTGGTGTTTATATTTCGAGCAGGGTGCCAAAAAGAAAAGTTTTGTTTAATGACATACTTAAAAGATCAAAGCGTTTGTGGCAAGGTTCAAAGCGAAGTTTTAATTGTTGAAGGAAATTTCATCATCTATCAAATGTTTCTAGTACAAAAGTGGAAAACACAATAATGATAATGAAGTAGCCCTATTGTGTGATTGTGAAAGTGATGTCATGAATTGAAGTACTTATTTGGTCAGTAGTATTTTTCTCTGTAAGAAAAATAAATTATTATATTAAAAATGTATTTCAAGTACCCTCGTTTAATAAGAAATTCCCTCGTTTTCCATAATGGAAGTATGGTAATCCTACTTGTATTGTGATGTGTGTTTGAACAGTTTTCTCCGATCCTCAGTGCAAAAGCTAGTTTCCAAACTTTCTAACTATTATTTTGAAATACGTAATCAACAATACAGGGATCAAAACATTTCTGCAATTAACCGGCAGAACTTTTGGATTAGACATACGCTAGCTATGAACAATAAGTGAATTCTCCGGCGCCCAGAAGTGGAACCATCGCGAGCCGATAAGAGCGCAACGTCTGGCGGCTTATCTTTCACTGCTCGAGAGAGCGCTGCGGGCAAAGCTAAGACACGTCTCGCGAGAATTCCGTTAAATCTCGCGGAGACTCGCGACCGCCGCCGTCGCGCCCGTGGCTGGATGGGAGTGGGAGGGTCGTCCTCCCGACCCGTTCCGTCCCACAAGCCAATTCCCGGCGCAAGTACAAGAAAACAATGGGAGGACGCGAGATTACGCCGCTAGATTGTGGTGAAAATGGGTATTAAGAAAGAGAGTTGGCGGAGGGAGGAGGAAGAGAGAGAGAGAGAGCAGGTGGCGAAATTACGGTGCCTTTTCCCCCTCCCTCTCATCCCAATTTCGGGACATTAAACTGCGAGCGGACTCAAGAGTTCTGATAAAGCGAGTCAGCGGCGATTCCTACTCGCAGGAGGATATTTTGGAATAAGGTGGCACAAAAGAGCTGGAAAAGATACTTCAGTTGTTGACATTTCTTCCTTCAAATGGTCAATCGGTAACATTAGAGAGTATTCATTTTACTCGTATTTATAAAAACAATTTGTCAATGAAAAGTATTAGTCTGAAAAGTATTGATCAAATGTTGGTAAGTTGTGATGTCCTACTTGAATGGTTGCTTTGAATTGCCATTACTCATTTAATACTTTGAGGATGCTTATTTATATGCATTAATCGTCTTTCTTTGAATAAAATTTCACAGAATATACTTACGTTGAATTTTTTCCGAATTTATCTTTCAAAACTTCATAAAAATATATCAAGAATTTGCTTCGAAATATAATATTTTAATCATAATATTATATTACGTATTCCCAATAATAAAAAACAAACTATTTATTTAATATGTTGGTCAACATTAAAAATATCATAGAAGTTCAACAATTATGACTAATTTTTTTATCGGTTTTCACATATGAGTTTCTTTATAAGATGGTAAGCATCTTGATGACCCCTACCTTCAAGTTCTGAAACTGCCGTACGAAATTTATCAATTTTGAACCTTGAAGACGAAACGACACGGTTTTGTGAAGAAACGTCCTCGGCTTATATCAAGTTACAAAATAGTCAGTGTTTATTTCCAACAGTCGCTCTCAGTCTTCTAGGTGGTCTTACTGACAACCACGATTCACTCTTTGTTAAAATGTAACTTTATTTTTTTTAAATTGTCCGTTTTCTGGAGCATACATATTTAGAAAATGATGAGACATTTGTCTTACTTAAATGTCAATTTAAGTAAAAAGTTCTTGGTAATTACTTCCTTTAGTGATCCCAATTCAATTCAACATTGAGAGATTGTAAAATATTCGCTATAAAAATTATCCGTCCATACAAGGAATCAATGGGGCCTCGTGAGGAAATCAGAAGAAAAAGATCTATACTATGAAGCGATTAAAATGCTATCTGCGTTAGTTTCAAACCAATTTACCATTTCAGAGTTCTCAGTCTCCCGGAAGAAATGAATTAACACACATTTAGATAAATAAAATTTAAATTGGGATTTTTCTTTTAAAGACCATTAGGTCTCATTATATTCGTATCAAACGTAGAAACTATTAATCATTTGCCAAAATAACAGTTCCCGTTATATTTAATTCGTTTGTTACCATTAAAGCTGTATTCTGTGCGTTAAATGTGACGTACTTCAGAACATCACATGTATTGCACATTTTCAAACATTATATTAAGTACTTTTTTATACATCTGTTATACTGGGAGCATCCCTATGTGCACGAAACATAGTATTTAGCCTGTGATGAGCGCCATTCACAGGGGCTCGCTCTTTCGCTAGTCAACTGACCACATGGGTACGCAAAATCAATATCACTCATTTTTTAATTACAGCGTAATTATAAAAATTACTAAAGTATGAAGGTAGAATTGGAATACCCTAATACCCACGCACCTAACTATTGGAAACGAATCGGGCACTGGGCAAAAAAGGTCGGCACTGACGGATATGCAAAATTCACGCATTATCGAACGACTCAGGAAGCGAGGGTTGCAGAAAAGGTGGACGCCGATCCCCCACAGGGATTTGTAACTTGCACCAAATGCAGGCCGCTAGTTAATTGCCTTCAGGGTAAATCCAAAACCTACCCCAAAAGCATCCGCCTTTTAAAAATAGAACTCGAAGGAGGGAAAAAATTTCAAGATCTGATAGCGCATTCATTTGCATTATTAGTTCCATATTTTGCATTTTCATCGGGCGCATTGGAGACTTCTTCCCTCCTTCGTCTCCTCGGAGGTATTTGTTCCTCTCCGTTTTTGAATGCCATTATTCTCTTCCGACCCCCTTCCGATCCCCCCCCCCCATTGGCGTTCTCTCCCGCGCTGGCCGAGCCACCGGCCATCGTCTGCGACTGCGACAGCGTCGGCGTCGCCGCAGGTGGTGCGAGCGGCGGCGAGGTGGGCGGCGGTCGGCAGTCTGTACCAGCACTGCGCGCCGCGTATTTCCATAATTCCAACGGAGATGCCCCGCCCCGCTTCACGTCGCGCCACGCGTCACCCCTTTGCGCCCCGCCCATTCCTGATGGCGCCGTCCGCGACCCATCGGAAAGAGGGAGCAATATGAGGAAGGGTCGGGGGCTGGGGAGAGGGAAGAAAGAGCACGCGGAACAGACGTGAAAAAGAAATCAGAGGATAATGAGGAATAACCTATTACAAGCACCACCACCACCACCACCACCACCACCAACATATCAATAAGGAAATGTTTCCTGTTATGCAATTACCACCAACCGTTGCCGCTCCCACAACTACTTATCATGAGGTAATTGTTATAAATTATGTTTGACTGTTCAAGTGATTAGAGCAATTGAACTTATACCGGATGATCCACGTTCGATTCAGGGCTGAGGCAGCAACTTCTTTGAAATCAACATAATAATAATAATAATAATAATAATAATAATAATAAATATTATTATCATCATTATTATTAATATTAGGCTTCTTCCAACCGACATTTACGGACTGCCTCGGGGGACACGCAACGTCTCGCTGATTTCCAGATTTTCAACGATTTTTGGAGATTTTCTCAATCTCAGAAATAACCCCACGAGGATGAGAATTGCACGGGCATTACGGATAGGAATCACGACGGTATAGGAAGCAAAAGGATGTCGCACGGTCGATGGCTCTTATTCTGGGCTTATGTTCCATTCCGGCAATTGACTCGACGTCATTAGGGAAACCGCGGAAACCGTTGATAGGCGTAGTCGATCGACGGTTCGTCGATCATCGGTCTAGCAAGTTACCGATGATTAAATTAGTTTCTAGCAATTTGCCTAAATGAAGCCTGTGAACTTCAAATCGACGATGATAATAATAATAATAATAATAATAATAATAATAATAATAATAATATCAATCTTTAATACTTTAATAAGCTTTTTGGGTGAAAGTTAACGAGCGGTATGTTCTGAGCGTTGCATCTTTCGAGCCCATTACCCGAAAGCTCATTTTTAAGTACTAAATGGACCTCTTTTTCAACTTACATTTGAAGTACGAAACTGAAAAGTTCAGGTTTGTTAATAAGTGTTAAATTGTTCAGGTGTTGTCTTCTGCATTTACTGAAACTTTTTTTCTGGTTACTTTTATTATCCGTTCTGTAGAACTTTATTTACTAGAAATCATGATAAAAAATAATCGCATCATGAGATAATATATCTACAGAAACATTGAACGTTTTTCAAAATTGTTATTTTGTTTTATTGTGAGCTATATATCTGTTGTCTGTAAAAATTTCATAAGTATAACTTTAATAGATTCTAAGAATTTTACTCAAACATTTCACATTACTATGATAGACACTCCGTACCCCTTCAATTGTAACGAACTCAAAGGTCTGGGCCGATGGTTCGCGGCAAATAGAAGACGCAAAAAATCCATGTCTGTGAAGCATTTCTATCTGCATTTCATTCCAATCCGTGAAACATTCTCTATAATTATTTGTATCCGTATCAGCTAAAACATCCATTTTATTAAGAGCAAAAATTGTATTGAAAAAATTAACTGTGTGACATTCTTGACTAAGATGATTATGACAAATATGGTGGAAATTAGAAAATAAAAGAGAAATTGTATTATTTATTAGAATTAACTTCGACATACATTCAAATGGAGATTCCATATGATAGAAGACAGTGCAGAAGATGAAGATGGTAAAGAAATGCACGTTGGTGATAAGGAATGGCAATGAAACAATACTGCTGAGAAGGAATGATGTTCCAAGGTTCAATGGAGAGAATCGCATGACAGTGCAGGGAAGGGAGAAATTGGTATGACAAGAGAATATGAATTGATGATGAAAAAGATTGATAATCCAGAAAGAGGAATGAATAAAGGCAAAATACTTGCGAATGGTATTTTTTAAATTTTACTTATTTAAAGAATCCACAAATTATTCATTGACATTATCAAACGTTCGGAAATAACTCTGCACTTCTGTACAATTACTCTTATTTGTGTCGTTTCAATGCTCCCAAATTATACTTCTTGTTGATCCAATTCATTACCAGTATCTGAGCATTATAATCCGAAAAAAGTCTAGGGGCATCCCTCTGATGTGTTGAAGAAAGCGCTGGACAACTGTTGGTACTTCTGGAAGAGCTTACGAACCTTCATTTCCAATGTTAGATCTCTGCGGGTGCCTTGTATGATGTACCTCGGTGCAGTGGCAATTCTCATTGCGCTTTTCTCGTAACGGAAGATTACGGCTGAACGCACACACTTCAGATGAAGCAGCAGCAGGTCCTCGGCTGACCGAGCTGTGCGGCGTCATGAAGCTCATTTCCACACGACGCCGCACAACTCGGAGTGCCCAAAACACTGATTTCAGGCCGGCGCTGATAGAAACTACAACCAAAGCATTTTCTTGGCGTCTTGTCAATCGTCGATAATTCTACCAGCGTTTTCTTCTTTTGGCTGATTGACGGTATGCAAGTCAAAAACTGCGTACTGCTATCTTCAAACATTTGCGAAAAAAATTGTAATACCATTACAACATAGCAAATTAAGCATTGTGAGAGGTAGACGAAAGTAAAACTATAAAACAATTCATTTATCACGATACTTAATAAAGATAACATAGACATTTTAAATCATATATATATATATAGACCCAGCCACACACGCAGCTACGGCGCCGCTCAGATACGTCTCCGCAAGTAGTGCACAACGCTATTGTAGGTGGGAGAGTATCTGCTGACCACAACTCAGCCGCCGGTCTTACAATTTCTGGCAGATGCGAGGGGTCAGTCGGTAGGGATGGTGAGGTGGTGTTACCCTTCCAAGAGAAACCGGACAGCTAACCGCTCCTTCTTCTAGAGAATGTCGTCGGCCAGGTCGGTTGTGCATTCCCGGTTAGGTGAGTGAGGAGTGATAAGACTCCATCTTGGCGAAAGCAATTGTATCGAGTGCGAGGCGGAATAGTGGCCGTGAAAGTGAACACTTGAGTTGCTGTGAGACGGTAGAACTGTTGAAATCAGCTGCACGAGTGAGAGTGAATCATAAAGAACGACCTGGGACAAAATACGCCGTTTATTAAACACGCGTAAGAACTTCGTAATAGGCGTCAGCGTGCCGCACGAGAAGAGCGGTGAAGAAGAAGCGATTATTCTGTTCTGATGCCAGACGTATCAAGACACAAGTTGGGGCAGATTCGGATAGGATCTGGAGGAGGGCGAAAGCAGACGGCGCTTCGGACGGCATCGCAGACGGACGGTTTGCAGAAGAGCGAGGTGATGGAGCGGCCCGAACTAGGCCAAGGTCGTGAGCCCACGGCGCAAACGTTCCGCGCGGATGTTGGCGAACTCAGCCACCGTGCGAGCGAAGAGTAAGGTAAATATAATCATTGTAACTGTTCATGTGGGGCAGGGCACGCGGCAAGTACTCGATCGCTGTGCTCATTAGACAAAGATTGAGGGAAATCTGAAGCACAAACTGTTGCGAACAAAGTGAGCAAATCGAGAGAAGTGAATGCCTGGTAGACTCTGTGATATATTTCATTACCAAATGATTCGATGAAAATAACTGATTGTAAATATTTAAATGTTAAACGCAGTGTTTGTAGGGAATTGTCGAATGTTACGATAAGCGTGGTAAAATTCATTGTATTCAAAGAGTTTAGGAAAAACTTTCTCCACATTCCCCGGTCGTTCAAAATGATGATAAAAATGAGTAAAAAGTATAAAATCGACATCCAAAAGCATATTTTGCCTAGTAAAGGACTGATTTCAGTTGTTATGAACATGCTATGAAAATAAATAGGCATCTGGGTACTGAAATATTCATGCAATAATTGATATAAAAAACTATCACACAGAAGCAGGTTCGAATTCGACTCTTGAAAACAAAGAACACAATTTTAAATTTCCTTCCAGGCACATAACCTAAGGCTAGCTCAGATTTCAATTCCGAGATTGCGGGGACAAGTTATTCTATAATTACAGGGACCCAGTAAAGTCCGGCTCTACCACTGCACCAATTCCTTCCAATTGCATTTCCTTTGTTCCCAATCATATTTGTTATCTATTCCTGGCTGTTTACTTCACTGTCCAACACTCATTCAATTTCTTCTCATAACCCATTATTTTTATATATATGAAGTATCCACCCCATTCTTCTCCCTTCTTCACAGCCCCAGTCTTATTCCTTCACAATCCCATTCTCCTCACTTCTCAACGAAAGATCATCACTTTTCAAAACCAATCATCTACACACTATTCTTGCTTCGTATTTTTCCTTATCTCTATATTCCATTTGATCTTTTCCCTTCGTTCATTTCCACTCCACTTTCCCCTATTTCACTCTCTATTCTCAGATCCGAAGCGAACGCTTGTCAGGCATCCCGAAGCTAAATGACGGTAAACAGCGGACCTCTTCCGCTGATTTCAAAGTTAATCTGACGTACAAACTGCGCACGCGTTTCTCCCTCGTTTTTCACGCAAAGCATTCCCGCGCCGCGCTGGGCCGCCCAAATTTCATTTCCGCGTCCGCTGTCGCCGCTCGTTGCGCAAACTGGAAAGAAGCGCGCGTGTTTAACGGCTAACTCGGAAGAAACGCGCCCTGCCGAAACGCCGCCTGGTGTTAAGTCCGCACCGCCGGCGATGGGAAAAGCAGCTGGAGATGATGTAATACTTCGAGAACCGAGTTCAAACTAACATTTTAGTTGCTTGGAGTAAACTGATGATAAAGTTTCATTACCGTGTTCTTAAGTCATTTCTCCATGAAGAGTACCGATTTTTATTTCATCGCATACAACTTGCGCAGAAGAGAGAAAATACTGTAATGCTGCGGCAAAAAACAGCGACTTTTTACAGAAAAAACTGAAATCGTGGAGGCCTGATACACAAAACATAAATACTGTTGCAACCTATAGTAAATTACTTTCACTAACACCGGGAGAGGTGGCTAAGGGCATCAAATAATGGCACAAAAAAGTGCATCTGACCGGAAGATTCTAGATTCGAGTCCCGACGGGGGTACAATTTCCCAGACTACATAGCTATGTCAAATTCAGTCG